ACTCTAAATGATTATATCTAGAGATTGAAGACATGGGAAAACATTATTATAATATTCAACTAAAATTATCATTAAAGAATTTAGATGAAAATTTGAATACAGGTACATATTATATTTAAAATTACATGTTAACAGATTCTAATATCTGGATCTGTATAGTAGCAACGGTCACAAATAGTGTATGGTGGTCGTGCTGAATTTTTCGCTCCTTGTAGTCAATGTCATGTGATCTCTTCTAAGATATGATCAATAAAAGGGGATATAATCAAATTTATTTTAAGGTAAGATAAGAGTTCTTGTCGGAAAAAGTTTTTAACAAATATTTCTTCCTTGCCTGTAGTTGTTCTGTACATCATCACATTGGGGTATATATGTAGTGAGAATCTATTAGTGTATGATATGTAAACTAGAAGTATTTTTAAACTTGTAGACAATTAAGTAAAGTACCCACTAACTGGTGACACTTGTTCATGTTGCGATTAACTCTCTAATGGTCTGTAAGTATTTTATTACTGTAAGGGTAGATATTATGTGAAAAGACTTCTTAATGGATTCAAAAAGAAATCCAACATCATTGTCACCAACCTCTAGCCATCTAGTCCTTCAAACTCAAAGATGAAGACATGCATGAAAGGGTCGTCAAGGAAAAGACCTGATAATGTTTTATAGTGTAGTAATCACATTGGTATGAAGTTGATTTTTAATTTTTAAAAAAACCAGATCAAATGGAAAAATATATCAAGTGATTCTAGCATTTTTTGTGATTAAAGAAAGTAATGATGTGACCAATATCAGGTTTACCTGACAAAATCAGGCGAGTTGGCAACACTGGAACACTATGAACAGTAGAAACACGCTAATGCTGTAGTCAATTTTACTGTTTACAATTGTACGGCAATTCCACAATATAAACAAACCAGAAAAGATGTGGGATTTAAGATACAATAAATACCATCAAGTGTGTAACCATTGTGATGTCAGTATTGTTGGCATGGAAACGGGGATGGTTAACAGTCAAAATGACTTTTCCACTTGACGGATTGCACTGTCGATAATATGTTGTTTATTTGAGTTTAATTCTAGTTACCGGTATTATCGACATAATGTAGCAATAAGAAAATATAGATATAAGCATTATCATGCAATTTGATGTTAAAGCCTACAGAGATCAGTCATTTACATTAGCCGTAAATGCCATATCATGACAGTTCAATGATTAAGTAATAATGTCTGCAAAATGATTGTTTAATAGCACTGCTGATTAAATCAGTAAAAGAGGCAGTTAGAACCTGTTATTGATCCATTTCCTGGAGTGATCGGGAAATATCGGCTTCATCTCTCCATACACAAAACAATTTTTCAAGTCAGTTGTCAATATCAAGATTCCCACTTAATGGCTGTATTACCTAACCATTATGCTGAAGATGTGGGCTGATTGGATCAGGTCGGGGGTAGTAGTGTGCTCCGTTCATACAGGTATATCAATCAATTCTGTACTATTATATTACATATTTTATCAGGGTTTTTGTATCACACTATTACATATTCTGTCAGGGTTTTGTGTTATATTATTACATATTCTGTCCGGGTTTTGTGTTATATTATTACATATTCTATCAGGGTTTTGTGTTATATTATTACATATTCTTTCAGGGTTTTGTGTTATATTATTACATATTCTGTCCGGGTTTTGTGTTATATTATTACATATTCTGTCAGGGTTTTGTGTTATATTATTACATATTCTGTCCGGGTTTTGTGTTATATTATTACATATTCTGTCAGGGTTTTGTGTTATATTGTTACATATTCTGTCAGGGTTTTGTGTTATATTATTACATATATTCTGTCCGGGTTTTGTGTTATATTATTACATATTCTGTCAGGGTTTTGTGTTATATTATTACATATTCTGTCAGGGTTTTGTGTTATATTATTACATATTCTGTCAGGGTTTTGTGTTATATTATTACATATTCTGTCCGGGTTTTGTGTTATATTACAACATCTTGTGGCCTGGAAAGGTTTTATGTTATAGTTCGGTAGAACCTGGTAATAAGAAATTTATTACGGTGAATTTGAAGTTGAAAAAAACTGTTGTTCTTGGTTCAAAATGAGACCTGATAACCCACTGCTATACCAACTGAGCTAAAGAAGCACGCTCCATCAGCTGACTGCATTTAACTTTATGTACGTCATTCCACAATGACTTTCTCCTTTACACAATAATGCATTATGAAGTGAAATGATAATAAAAACTGAATACATCATAAGAATACAATATGTTTAACACATTGTAAGAATATAATATGCCAAATACATTGTAAGAATATAATATGCCAAATACATGGTAAGAATATAATATGCCAAATACATTGTAAGAATATAATATGCCAAATACATTGTAAGAATATAATATGCCAAATACATTGTAAGAATATAATATGCCAAATACATTGTAAGAATATAATATGCCAAATACATTGTAAGAATATAATATGCCAATTACGTTGTAAGAATATAATATGCCAAATACATTGTAAGAATATAATATGCCAAATACATTGTAAGAATATAATATGCCAAATACATTGTAAGAATATAATATGCCAAACACATTGTAAGAATATGATATGCCAAATACATTGTAATACTCTAATATGTGTAATACATTATAAGAATATAATATGCTGAATACATTGTAAGAATATGATAGGGAATACTATTATTAAATCTACCATAAATTGCTGAATACTCTATACTACTTATGCAAGTCTGAAATAATAATTGTAGCCAAAAATGTATTTGTAAATATGACCGGTCACAGAGTTTACGCCTAAAATAAAGTATTTGTCAGGATTATGATTAACATGAAAGGAAATAGGATTTACATATGAAACTCCATTGACGTAGGTGTGCTACTGTTAATCTGATCCTACTTGAGTATTTTACATGCCAATATTATGTTAGGTTACATAAAAGTCTATAGCAAACAAATCCAAGGGCATGTAAAGCTGAGATAATTTGTTTACCTCTGCCTGTTTACTGGTTGTAGTAGATACCCAAGAGTGCAGATTAACATATGATTAAATATTCCAGGATAAACCAAACTCTGGTATTAAAAAGTTGTAGTCAGGCATAACAGCTTGAAATATGCCGTTGTACTGGTTTGTGTTCTATGGGTTGGTCTCTGGTGACTTAAAAAATCAGATGTTTGAATATTCAGATTCAAACAAACAATGCCATATTTCAGAGTGTCATGCATAATTTTCATCTATTTCTCTTTCATAAGAATGAGCAATGTTTTATATCCTTATTTGGTGTTGTAGCCTAGTGTAGACAATAATCAGTCGCAAACTCAGTCATGTGGCACAAACATTGCATAACTAACAGTTGATCAACTTCTAGTGTGTTAACTGTGCCCAGTTATACCATAACCATGATCACCCTGTTGTTAACTGTGCCCAGTTACACCTTAACCATGATCACCGTATGGTTAACTGTACCAAATTATACTGTAACCATGTTCACCCTGTAGTTAACTGCACCCAGGTACACCTTAACCATGATCACCTTGTAGTTAACTGCACCCAGGTACACCTTAACCATGATCACCTTGTAGTTAACTGTACCAAGTTATACTGTAACCATGTTCACCCTGTAGTTAACTGCACCCAGTTACACCTTAACCATGATCACCTTGTAGTTAACTGTATCCAGTTATACTGTAACCATGTTCACCCTGTAGTTAACTGCACCCAGTTACACCTTAACCATGATCACCTTGTAGTTAACTGTATCCAGTTATACCATAACCATGATCACCCTGTTGTTAACTGTGCCAAGTTACACCTTAACTATGATCACCTTGTAGTTAACTGTATCCAGTTATACTGTAACCATGACCACCCTGTAGTTAACTGCACCCAGTTACACCTTAACCATGACCACCCTGTAGTTAACTGCACCCAGTTACACCTTAACCATGACCACCCTGTAGTTAACTGCACCCAGGTACACCTTAACCATGATCACCTTGTAGTTAACTGTATCCAGTTATACTGTAACCATGACCACCCTGTAGTTACACCTTAACCATGATCACCTTGTAGTTAACTGTATCCAGTTATACCATAACCATGATCACCCTGTTGTTAACTGTGCCAAGTTACACCTTAACCATGATCACCTTGTAGTTAACTGTATCCAGTTATACTGTAACCATGACCACCCTGTAGTTAACTGCACCCAGGTACACCTTAACCATGATCACCTTGTAGTTAACTGTATCCAGTTATACTGTAACCATGACCACCCTGTAGTTAACTGCACCCAGGTACACCTTAACCATGATCACCTTGTAGTTAACTGTATCCAGTTATACTGTAACCATGACCACCCTGTAGTTAACTGCACCCAGGTACACCTTAACCATGATCACCTTGTAGTTAACTGTATCCAGTTATACTGTAACCATGACCACCCTGTAGTTAACTGCACCCAGTTACACCTTAACCATGATCACCTTGTAGTTAACTGTATCCAGTTATACTGTAACCATGACCACCCTGTAGTTAACTGCACCCAGGTACACCTTAACCATGATCACCTTGTAGTTAACTGTATCCAGTTATACTGTAACCATGACCACCCTGTAGTTAACTGCACCCAGGTACACCTTAACCATGATCACCTTGTAGTTAACTGTATCCAGTTATACTGTAACCATGTTCACCCTGTAGTTAACTGCACCCAGGTACACCTTAACCATGACCACCCTGTAGTTAACTGTATCCAGTTATACTGTAACCATAATCACCCTGTAGTTAACTGTACCCATTTTCACCTTAACCATGATCACCCTGTAGTTAACTATACCCGGTTGTACCTCAACTATTCTGTAAGTTGTCAACATTACTGAAGTTATAACTGATTCAACAGACTATCAATTTTTCTTTGTCAACATGATTATATTTACATGACTTGTCTTTTGTTTTCAGTTGGTAGATCTACATGTATACCTGGTACCACAAAGCATCTGGAGAGAGAGGTACAACAACTTCCTCAACCAGAATGTCACAGAAACAGTGTCTGCAGGGATCATAAGGTAACCAACCCACTGAAACATCACACACCACACTAACCAACCACCTAGAACTGACAACATCATACACCACACTAACCAACCACAAAAACTGACATCACACTTACCAACCAACCACAAAAACTGACATCACACATCACACTTACCAACCAACCACAAAAACTGACATCACACATCACACTAACCAACCAACCACAAAAACTGACATCACACATCACACTTACCAACCAACCACAAAAACTGACATCACACTTACCAACCAACCACAAAAACTGACATCACACATCACACTTACCAACCAACCACAAAAACTGACATCACACATCACACTTACCAACCAACCACAAAAACTGACATCACACTTACCAACCAACCACAAAAACTGACATCACACATCACACATCACACTTACCAACCAACCACAAAAACTGACATCACACATCACACTTACCAACCAACCACAAAAACTGACATCACACACCACTGAACAATTACTTCATACTGGATATTAAAATTCTGAAATATTTTCATCCGTAATGTTCTGATGTTGGATATTCCTAATGTTATTTGCTTTGTTACAGGGTCCATCCAGAGCAGAAAGTCATTGTGTTACGTGATGAAATTGACACGCAAATAGGAGCAGAGCTGGTACCAAGAGAATATGTCTTCTTAAAAAGTGTGGGACGGAGTATAACCAAGGTTAGAATCGACTGTAATTAGTGAAATCATCCAATAATTGGAAAATACACAACGTCCCAATTACAACTGGGTATATTCTGTGGCAAGAAATTCTGATGGTTTCCTATTTAATCAAACAATGTAGCACAGTTAGACATTCGCTAACTAACGTCCAATTAACCTGTGTCAAATTTCATCACCATCTCATGTATAACACTTATTTTAATTAAGACTTAATACCTTTTCTGGTTCTTTTGTGACTTTAAGCACAAGATTGTCAATAGTTGGTGTACTCCGTCACCTGATATCAAAGGCGCAGGGATTAATTCCAATCCCATATATATATATATACATACTACTTTCATAATTGATTTGTTAGACCAATAAGCTAAGACTCGTGCCACAGAATAGACGTTGAGTCTCTTTTAATTATTTCTCCTTTAGTGTTATGGATGATCACAAAAGAAACCGTAACTGGTATTCAGAAAATTAGAAAGGGAAAGCTCTGCAGATAATTGATTTTCAATGTATCTATAGATATTCTGATATGAATGTTGAATCTGGATATTTCCGTTACTGGAGAAAATTAAGGCCTGTCAAAATGTAATGTGGGAAATTTAATTTCATGCTTTAAAGGGAACTTCATAGTAGGTTGAAAACAAATGTTGATGGCATTAAGTAATGATCCATACACATTTGGGTAATTGAAGTTCACACTCAACTGACTGACCAAACACATTTAAAACTGTATAACGTTTCTTAAGCTGGTGTACACGATACACTGACCAACCAACCATACCGAAAACTTTTAAACATTTCTACATCTGGTGTACACGCTAGACTGACCGACCAAACACACTGAAAACTTTTAAACATTTCTACATCTGGTGTACACGGTAGACTGACCGACCAAACACACCTAAAACTTTTAAACATTTCTACAGCTGGTATACACACTAGACTGACCGCCAAACACATCTGAAACTGTGAAACATTTCGACAGCTGATGTACCCTTCTACCTGATTAACTTTAAATTCAGTGACTATAGGACAAATATGACAAAAAGTAAAGTATACATATATATCTATATCCTGCTACAGGGCATTAATGTACTGTATTAATATACCTAAGAATTAATACTTTCTTTGGGTTCAGATTTTGTTATTTTCCAAAAATGTGCTTTTTTTGTTGGCACATAAATTCGTAGATTTAGAATACCTACAAATTCAATGAAAATATATTCATGTTACAGAATTCTTGGCTTGTATTTTTTTTTAATTTTTTTTGCTGGAGGATATGTGAATGTGACATGTGTTATTACTTTATTGATAATTTGACTTAGCAAAGGCAGAGCAGGTTACATTAAACAAGAATGGCGATCACAAGTAAAACAGGTTTTGATTTTATTGAAGTGGAACTTGTTCTCTTTGGTTAATGGATTAACACACTAGATCTCAAAGGACAATATTTATAAATACCTATAACATGTTTGTACCTTAACTTAGAAGTGTCACAAGCTTTAAGAGTCGTCATTAAAACACATTAATGATTTTGTGACGATTATCCATTCTCTGTGAATGCTACCATTGATCTGCGGCGTTTGAATTCCTTACGAAGCTGAAGACCGCTGATCCACCTGATCTGTATGCATTACATTCCCTAGCCGTTTAAACTTTTACTTTACAACCATACCAGACTCATAAAATTGCTTGCTCAATGTACTCTTGTCCTTTTCATCTTTTTACTACTGTTACGATAAATCTCCAAAGCTTTAGGAGACATACTCCGAGCTTTCCTGTATTCAATAATGTCAGAACTTGGCCCGTATTTCATGAAACAAGCTTAATAAAATGGAACTATATGGCCGCATCTGTATAAAGATGATAACATTTTTACCCAAATGAAGGACAAGCCAGGATTCAAATTTAGCACCTCTTGTTTAAATATGGATACCACAAATCATTTTCCAGATCATGTAGAATTTAACTTAAATTCCTATACAATCAGTTTGTGTTTACCATTTGGTCTATATCTATTTCTTCAATATACTTTTTAAAGTTCAGTTGTATGTCTGATACATATACGTGTCCACTTAATATTTACCTCAGCCCCTTATCGCACAAATAGATTTTGGCTATAACCCAATACCACTTTACCATTGTCACCTTATTCAAATTTTTTTTCAAATTCGAAAATATTTCCTTGATCACAATGTCATATGAAGTGCTTAAATCATGTCACCTTTTCTGTATTCTGACAGGTGATTTTTTTCTATGAGAATCCATACTTGTTTACAGAGTTGCCCTAGTGACATGATTAAATTCACCTCTATTTCAAAAGATTTCTTAATTACAATAACTAATATTGTAACAGCTACACCAGTAGAATGACTGTGTTTAACTCACAATAAAATAGGACAATTTTTAAATATTACTGTTTGGTTGAAATGCTGAACTGTTCTGTGTTTTAGGTCTGAGGTCAGTTTTTGAAAGTATTTGTCCTCTGGGCTAATGATAAAGTGATTGCAATATTTATTGTTATAACACTGTGGAGATGTCATTGTACTATGTGTACCTCTTAACATCATGTACCACACATATATGTACTAAACTAACCTGTGATGTCAATATTGATATAAAGAAAAAGTACAGCTAATGAGAGCAGTACAAACAGTAGCGTGTTGTTTCAATATTTACATAAGTTCATTTTTTTTTTTATTTTCAGTTGAAGGCCAAGCAGGAATATCAGTTGAAAGTAAAGAATTTCATTCCACCACAGGTAGGTATTCAACTATGACACCAATATATGTAGACATTGTTTATTTCTGTCCAACCACAGGTAGGTTTTCAACTATGACACCAATACATGTTTCTTTCGTCCATTCTTTGTCTGTCAATCCTCAAACAATTCATTGAGATATTTCATTTGTAGTGTCCTCTCAGTGTCTTGTGCATGTTCAATTTTGGGACTGATTTGGAAAACAAAATGGCTGACAAGTAGCCATCTTGGATTTTGAAATATTTACAATTTTTTTCATTAATATTTCTTCATAAAGACTTGTTTGAGCTTTCCTAAAATGCAACACTCCAGTTTCCTTGAGTTCAGAAATGAAATTTGAAAATTTAAAAGAAAGGATCGGTTGGTTGTATTTTGGAGAGGGACTTGAACATAAAAAATCTTTTCAAGTACATGTAGGTAGATGGTTTGGTGAATAGAGACCGGTGATAGATGCAGTCCTGTCTCTAAGCTTCCTTCCCTATGAACGTTTTTGTCTTATGTTTTTCTAGAGCTATGCACCAGAATTATTCTTACTGGAGGCCCAGGATGTGGACAGCAGTCGGAGCTCAGTTCGTCCTGACAGTCCGGAGTATACGACTGGTCGGAAGTCTGATCGGACACCATACACATCACATAACACCAACCCCACCAGTCCAGAATACAATATGTCATCAGCAGAAAGTAAGTTGACCAGCCTTATACTGTAGGATAAATCCTATCAAACCTTCTCAGTTCACTGATATACACAACTGTATGTAAAGCTTTTTGTGTCATCAGTATAAAGTATAACCGTTATATTCAATATCTGTTTGATGAATATATTTAATCGTTTAAAGATATTTTAACTTTTTGATTTTGTATATTCTTATTAGTTTTTGAAAACCTTGTTATGTAAATTACGTCTTTCAAAGATAAATCATAAATCGAGTGCAAGAGATAAAGAAATAATACCATCTTACTTTGAATAAGGATTGAGATCCATCTGTTCTGTGTGATGAAGAAATGTTTTACCCATGTTGCTGTGTTAACATAGAATGTGTGTTTGTTTAGTAGATGCAGATGAATGGCATCTAATTTGAAATTTACATTCATGGTTTGAAAACTAACACAAAACTTCAGTTACATATCGTGTAAGTGCTTGTTGGTGTAACTATGACAGAATTTAATAAATGATTTAACTTGTTCAGGTAAAAATTTGGAAAACTGTGTTATATGAATGATCCTCGTGATAATAAGTAAGAATTTCTTATTTTTTATATTGAGACACATTTTTAATGTGAAATGTTGTTTAAGAAAATGAATCGTATTAAATTCTGTCATGTTAGAATCTGCTGTGATTAATTATATAAAACTGGAAATTGAAAAGCAGTTAAAATCTTAAACAAAAGCTTCCGATATTTAGACTGAAACTTCACAAGAAGGTGCTTTTCGTGACATTCTCGTACTAAACAGTGTGGCACAAGTTTGTACTTATCTAGGCACTAATAACACAGGCCTATGGAGGCAACCCTTCCACACTCCAGCAGGTTATCTCAACGTGAGTCTATCAGATATACGTAACTGCTACTGGTAGATTTGTAGTAGCCAGGTCTGGTGTGCATAAATTCTCAACTACTGCTGCAATAAATCAGGTTTCAAAGAAATTTTATATTTACCAAGTTACATTTTAAATTAATTTACTTGCATTTTATATATATATACATATATGTGTGTGTATATAGTCATAAATTTGTGCATTGTGTTAAGATTAGTCAGAATGAAATATATATATATAGATACCATAGCTAGTTGTAAGTACAGTAGATAGTGTGTTATTCAATCCCTGGCTGTAGGTATCGTAGAGGTATCAGATACATACAAGTCAATATTACCATGTCAAAAATTGCGTAGTTGCTGTTATTAGAATCCAATTTAAGTACAAAGATTCTTGATAATACACGCCTTTGTAACAGACATAACCTAATGTTGTTGCACCCTGTGTGTACAGTACCCGATATTTAAACATAGATTCACCGCACTTCAATATTGTACAATACTTCCTATCTTATCATATTGTTTTCTTTACACAATTGTTAATTTCATTGATGGAAACCGACGACATAAGTCCTTGTACTGGAAGCTGGGTGTCGTTTTGTTGTAAGTACCGCCCCTTCAATGAGCGAGGGCATACCTGTACTGCGACCTGCAGCGTAGTTTTGGCATATACTGCACTGTTAACCCTGAGTGGTGGTTCTACCCATAATCAGCATGTTGGGAAGGAGGAGGATTACAGTCGACACTTTATTGGAAATTTATTTACTAAAACTTTACTCAAAGAGCACAAATTGTTTATACGCATTAGTCAGCACAATATATATATTAATATCTTATCTATTGGTGATGCAGTGTATATCAAGAAGAGAAAATATCTGCTAAGCCTTTTATTAGTAGTAGCCTGAATTTCAGTACCAACAGCTATTTCAACAAAATATATAAAAACAGGTTGAATCTGTAAGGGTTATCATCATTCCGTCAGTTATTATGATACTAACCATTGTTATAAGCTTGTTACGGCAATTATAATCCTCCTCTTCCTGCGGGCTTATCTCCCTTCCTACATGTACTGCCTTTGATGTTTGCTCATGTATGTTGTCAAGGTAACAATGGTTGCTATGCACTTTTGTTTTGTCACCATGGTAATGGTACAATGTTTGAAGCAGCCATTAACTTAGTTGCTCTGCACATTTGTTTGGTCACCAAGGTAAAGGTACATGCTGTCTGAAACCATAACAACAGTTGCTATGCACTTTGTTCACTATGGCAATGGTATGCTACCTTTGGCTTAGCAACCAGTTTCACACCAATTGACAACATTGTGAGTTAGTTGTTCTGTATTTGTGTTGTTTGGTGATATTTGTCTTATTTGTATTCTGTAGATGTATCCTATATTTTTTCGTGTCTTCATTTTAACTCCACTTTACCAGCTGGTGATCAGAATTGGTACAGGAACTCTCTCATCTTTGTAACTAACCACTCTCAGTGTAAGGGTTCCATCACAGGCATTCTCTTCATCCACAACCTGCTATATTTTCTGGTTGTGATTTACTCTATGTCTGTCTGATCTCTGGCTGTGATTTTCTCTCTGTCTGTCTGATCTCTGGTTGTGATGTCCTTTTTGTCTGTCTGATCTCTGGTTGTGATGTCCTCTTTGTCTGTCTGATCTCTGGTTGTGATCTCTTCTTTGTCTGTCTGATCTCTGGTTGTGATCTCTCTTTGTCTGTCTGATGTCTGGATGCGATGTCCTCTTTGTCTGTCTGATTTTTGGTTGTGATCTCCTCTTTGTCTGTCTGATCTCTGGTTGTGATCTCCTCTTTGTCTGTCTGATCTCTGGTTGTGATCTCCTCTTTGTCTGTCTGATCTCTGGTTGTGATCTCCTTTTTGTCTGTCTGATCTCTGGTTGTGATCTCCTCTTTGTCTGTCTGATCTCTGGTTGTGATCTCCTCTTTGTCTGTCTGATCTCTGGGTAAAATTTTCTCTTCTTTATCAGACTGTATTTTCCTTGTGGTACATTATGTATGTTTCCTGCTCTGGATAACATCTTGAAGACTAACTTATGTCAGTTCTGTCATCCTGCTCTACCTGGGTATGACTCGTCTGTTATTGACCATATACTAATGTAAAGTGAATGATCTGTTTGTAACATAGCATTTTTTGGGAGAGAACCTTTTACATAAAAACAGAAAGTATCACAGTTTTATCTGTGTTTTCTGCCGTTCATTGTTTCATAGACCACTTAGTAATTTTCAGATAAAAAGTGTGGTGTTTAAATTAGAGTCACTTTATCCAAACTGGCAATATAGAAACTTGAAAATAACTGAAGGTTATAAATGAAAAAATAAGATAAATAAATGAAAATGAATCTAAAATATTTCTAGTAATTTAATATTTTTTCCAAATTTGTTCATTCTTCATCTCAGGTCGTGTTTTATTTCACAATGTCAGTTTTATTGTTCTTTAAAAATATTTATAGTTAATATTTGATAAAAGTCATGTTAGTCATGGTACAAATAGCTCTTGAAATTCTTCAATAAAATGCGGTTAAAAGTTTTGAGCCCACCTGGTGTACAAGGTATATGGTTTTGTGTAGTGCGGGCACTCATGACTTTCAATGTTCAGCACTTTAGACGAAAGGCTATTTGTCTTGGGATTTAGCTGTGTGTATTCTCCTGTCCACTTGACAGCCAGTAGGATCAGGAGCTTCCCTGTCTCATCCAGTGGGAAGTGCCCAATAAACGGGCTACCTTAACTGTCTGTTAAAGATGCCTGTCCATCAGTTTACTCAAAAATGGTAGTACTCTGGAAAATTTCATTCTCGTCCTGTCCAAGTTTCTCTGCAGTAGGCCACCTTATCCATCTGTTAAAGATGCCTGTCTGTCAGTTAATGAGGGTTTGTTCTTATATGGCAAATTTCCTGTCTCGTTCGTTTGAAAATCTCCCGGACCCAGCACAGTGTGATGTCAACATTGGTGAACATGGTCTTTGTGAATCACGCACCCTCGTGATATCGATATTATAATTATATACACTGAGGAAGTAGATGCTTGGCTTAGTGTTAGTGAAATAAAAAATCTGTGAGTCATTTTTCAGCACTGATGCCACAGACTTCAAGTTTGAATAAGAAAGTTACTATACAGTAAGAATGTAGCCTTCAGTTTTTGTTGATCAAGATCTAAATGACTTAAATCTTAAGATGACACTCAGTTTTACATCAAAACACTTTTTCCTGACAATATTCCTTTTCATTTCTAAAGGCAATACTTACAACCATGTATTGAGAGTATACTATAGAATTAATATATTTATGGTTATAACAAAGTCAGGATATTTATATATAGTATTTATTTTAACGGGTTTTACGTCCACTATTACGACCTTTCAGTCTTTCAGCGGACGAGACAAAGTCAGGAATATTATGAGAATTATATAAGGGGTAGGCAGCCTTAATTTCTTGAAACGGTTTAAGTGTTACCTGCTGTTGCTAGACTTGGCTCAGATATGTGTGTCAACAGTGGACAGATAAATAGTCCTGTGTCGCTTATTTAAAGCCCTACATGGGGATCATATTGAATTCGCATTAAAGTTTTACAGATTTTGAAGGATTATGATATTCTTACAAATTTCAAAATAAACAAAATGTGTACTTATATAAAGGGTAGACGGTATGAGTACAGGTGACTTTATGACAGGTATGACAGATGACTTCAGGTGCTATTTTAGCGTTTACAGACGCCCTAACATAAAACTTAAATAAATAAATGATAATGCATCAAGAGAAGAAACATTTTAGATATAACGGTACATGTTTTGTTACATACATGAAGTAACTGTGTTGAGGAAAAAGCATCAAGACATTCAGATAATCAGTGGAAAGATAAACATCATTTCTTGATGTGGTTTCCTTAAAAAGATATTACTTATTTGAGGGAAAATTTTAAATAGGGGATAGTATGCCTGTTTTATGTATTATCTGGAGATCAGATTATGAATTTTGGTTTATTGTGAGATGAAGTTAAGTGTTATAAGGATAAAATGCATTATCTTATACCAAGTATGTGCATAAAAATAAGCATTACTGTTCCCGCTCTAAAATAATTTGAGTCTTAAAGTGATGTAATAATATTTCATAATGTCAGTAGAATTCA